ATCGTGTTGCAGGAGAAACACTTACTCTGTTTTCTTAGTCTGTTTCTTTGAGCCGGTTTAAATTTTCTGCATTCTCACTATAAGCTGAGTTGGTGCTTGTACCTCCCCAAATATATGCATGTAGTGTGCTTTCCATCTGAAAAGAAACTCTCTGTTGCCCGCAAGCTAGGTGAAGCATGGATTTCACAGACAATTATCTCTGAAAACCAAGCATGTGGAGAGAATTTCGTTAATCTAGAACCAAGGAAACTTTTTGCAAATGGTACAAATACTCTGATATCTAATTTTGATTCCTAGTGCTGGTTTGAATTCCCTGCATTGTTCATTGTAAAACTGAGGTGGAGCTAATACCACCCCATATCTATGTACATATTGCACTTTCCTAATGAAAAAAAACAATGTGTTCCTAACTTATTAAGTGAAGGACGTCATTCACACACAAATTTCTCTCAGAAATTAGCATGTGGAGAGATTTTCATTCATCTAGCACAAGAGGACCTGTTTGAAGGAGAAAGAGTTACTCTAGTTTCTCAGTCTGTTTTCAAGTGCCGGTTTGAATTTCCTGCAGCTTTCAGTGTAAAACTGATTTGAAGATATTACCTCCAATGTATATGTTTTTAGTGTAATTTCCAAATGAAATAAACTTTGTGTTCCCAACAAGCCAGGTGAAGTTCGGCTTTGAATCATACTTATCTCTCAGAGTTTAGCATGTGGAGAGACGATATTTCATGTAGCACAAATGGAACGTGTTGCAGAAGACACACTGACTCTGTTTTCCCAGTATGATTCCTAGAGCCCATTTGAATTTCCTGCAAATTTGAATGTAAGCCTGAGTTGGTACTAGTACCTCCCCATATATATGCATGTACTGTAGTTTCCATATGAAAAGAAACTATGTTTTGCCAACAAGTTATGTGAAGGACGGCTTTCACACAAGCTTATCTCTCAGAAATTAACATGTGGAGTGACAGTCGTTCATCTAGCATGAAGGGAATGGTTTAAAATTGATAAACTTACTCTTATTTCTATGACTGTTTCCTAGTGCAGGTTTGAAGTTCCTGCAGTTTTCACTCTAAAGCAGACTTGGAGCTAGAAGCTCCTCATATATATTTATGTACTGTTGTTTAAAACCAAAAAAAAATTTGTTCCCAATAATCTGGGTGAAGTGTGACTTTCACCAAAAGTTACCACTCAGAAATGAGCATGTGCAGACAGGTTCCTTATTCAAGCACAAATGGAATGGGTTGCAGTAGAAATAAATACAATGGGTTCCCACTCTGTTTCCATTAGCAGGATTGATTTTCCTAAAATTTTAACTGTAAAATCGATTTTGTGCTTGTACCTCCCCTTATATATGTACGTTTTGTAATTTCCAACTGAAAAGAAAATCTGTGTTGCCAACAAGCTAGGTGAATGGCGGCTGTCACACACACTTTTCTCTCAGAAATTAGCATGTGGAGAGACTTTCTTTCATCTAGCACCAAGGGAGAGGTTTAAAAGGGATACAAGTATTCTAATTTCTAAGTCTGTTTCCTGGGTCGGTTTGATGTTCCTGAAGTTTTCACTGAAAAACCAATTAGGAGCTTATACCTCCCCATATATATATAAGTAGTGTACTATCCTATGAAAAGAAAATTTGTGTTCCCAACATGCTATGTGAAGAACGTCTTTCATGCACAATTTTGTCTCAGAATTGAGTATGTGGAGAGACTTTCAAACATCAAGCACAAAAGGGAGTGGTTTGAAAGAAATACAATTACTCTAATTTTTTAGTCTGTTTAGTATTGTCGGTTTGAAATTCCTGAAATTTTCACTGTAGCCAAGACTGGGAGTTAGATTCTCCCCATATATATATATGAATTGTAATTTCCCAATGAAAAGAATCATTTTGTTTCTAACATGCTTGGTGAATGACGAATTTCACAAAAACTTATCTCTCAGCACTGAGCATGTGGAGACACGTTCGTTCATCGAGCACAAATGGAACCGTTTGCCGGGGCAACAATAAGTCTGTTTCTCAGTCTATTTAATAGTGCCTGTTTGAAATCCTGCAGTTTTCAGTGTAAAACCGAGTTGGTGCTAGTACCTCCTCACATATATGTATGTATTGCTGTTTCAAAATAAAAAGGAACTTTTGATCCTAACATGCAATTTGAAGGACGGATTTCACAAACAGTTATGTCTTAGAAATGAGCATGTGAACAGACATTCATTCTCCTAGCACAAATGGAATGGTTGTCAGGAGAAAGATTTACTCTGGTTTCCCAGTTTGTTTCCTATTGCCGGTTTCAATTTCCTGCATTTTTCATTGTAAAACCAAGTTGGAGCTGGAATCTCCCCATATTTATATATGTATGGTTGCTTCCAACTAAAAACAACTTTGTGTTTCTTTCACCCTAGGTGAAGTACAGCTTTCACAAACACTTATCTCTCAGAAATCAAGATGTGCAGAAATGTTCATTCTATAAGCAACAATGGAATGGGTTGCAGTAGTTAAAATTACTCTGAATTCTAAGTCTATTTCCTAGCGACCCTTTGAAGTTCCTGCAATTTTCACTGTAAAACAGAGTTGGAGTTATTAACTCACCATATATATATATATCTATTGTAATTTACAAATGAAAAGAATCCTTTTGTTCCTAACATGCTTGGTGAATGACGGATTTCACAAAAACCTATCTCTCAGAACTGAGCATGGGGAGACACGTTCGTACATTGAGCAAAAATGGAACTGTTTGCCAGAGAAACAATTACTGTGTTCCTAGTCTGTTTAATAGTTCTGGTTTGAAATCCCATAATTTTCACTGTAAAAGCGATTTGGAGGTAGTAACTCCCGATATAAATGTAAGGATTGCTGTATCCAAATGAAAAGGAACTTTTAGTTCATAACATGCAAGGTGAAGGACGGATTTCACAAAGAGTTACGTCTCAGAAATGAGCATGTGGACAGACGTTCATTCTTTTGGCATAAAGGGAACTGTTGTCAGGAGAAACATTTACTCTGATTTCCCAGTTTGTTTCCTACTGCCAGTTTCATTTTCCTGCAGTTTTCATTTTAAATCCAAGTTGGAGCTTGAATCTACCCGTATTTATGTAGGTATGGTTGTTTCCTACAAAAAAAAAACCTGTGATCTTCAAAAGCTAGGTGAAGAACGGCTTTCACACACACTTTCCTCTCAGAAATGGACATGTGGAGAGATGTTCATTCAACTAGCAACAAGGGAAATGATTTCCAGTTGATACAATTAATCTGATTTCTAAGTCTGTTTCCTAGCGAAAGTTTGAAGTACCTTTAGCTTTCACTGTAAATCTGAGTTGGAGCTAGTATCAACCCATATATATGTATGTTGAGTATTTTCCAAACTGAAAAAAAGCTTTGTGTTCCCAAGAAGCTAGGTGAAGTACGGCTTTCAAACACACTTATCTCCGAGAACTGTTAATGTCGATAGAGTTCATTCATCCAGCATTTCGGGAGTGGGTTTCAGTAAAACACTTAATCTGGTTTCTCAATCTGTTTCCTTCTGCTGTTTTTCATGTCCTGAATTTTCACTTTAAAAGCGTGTTGGAGCTAGAACTTCACCATATATAAGTATGTAGTGCAGTTTCCAATGGGAAAAAATCTTTGTGTTCCCAACAAGCTAGTAGAAGTATGGCTTTCACACACACTTACATCTCTGAACTGAGCATGTGGAGAGACTTCTGTTCATCTAATACAAAGGGTTCATGTTGCAGGAGAAACACTTACTCTGGTTTCTTAGTCTGTTTCCTTGTGCCAGTTTTAATTTTCTGCATTCTCACTGTAAGCCGAGTTGGTGCTAGTACCTCCCCAAATATATGCATGTAGTGTGCTTTCCATCTGAAAAGAAACTCTATGTTGCCCCCAAGTTAGGTGAAGCAAGGATTTCAAAGACAATTATCTCTGAAAACAGAGCATGTGGAGAGAATTTCCTTAACCTAGAACCAAGGGAACGTTTTGCAAGTGGCACACTTTCTCTGATATCTAATTTTGATTCCTATTACCGGTTTGAATTCCCTGCATTGTTCATTGTAAAAGTGAGATGGAGCTAGTACGACCCCATATAAATGTACATATTGCACTTCTCTAATGAAAAGAAACTTTGTGTTCACAACTTGCTAGTTGAAGTACGTCTTTCACACAAAACTTTCTCTCAGAAATTAGCATGTGGTGAGAATATCGTTCATCTAGCACAAAAGGAATGGTTT